TCACCTCAGGTGCGTCCAGGGCTGCATTTTCTTTCAGTAGCTTCTTACGGTTTTCATTTAGAGCAATGCTTTTGTAAAAGCTGCTGGGGCAGCCTTACTTGCCCATCCATCATCCTTTTGCTCTCTCTTTGGCTGGCTCTCCATACCTGCTCCGGAAGGCATGCTGGAGGCAGCTGCTGTTTCCTTGCGTGTTCTAGGCAGAAACACACAGACACAGTAGGATTGCCTAGAGCAGAATCCTGTTCTTTCTTGGATTATTTGCTCTGAAAAGTCTAGGTTTCTCCAGCCTTCCTTCACCACCTTCCCAATATCAGTGTTGCTCTTTAAAAAAACACCTTCCAGGTAGAGAGAGAAGGAGGCGCAAAAGCGTGGCCAGACGGAGCAGATGTAAAAATATTTTGCAAACTGAGGCATGCCTTTACAGACAGCCGTGAAGCTTCCTTGAGCTGCTTTGTACGCTGCAAAGTATTCATCCACCCAGAAATACGGGGGGCTTTCCCTTGCAGAAAACACATGTTTGCAGAAAGAACACATTTCCTGCGCAGCGAACAGGGGACTTTGCAAAGAAAACGCCGTTCCCTGCACAGGAGGTGGATTTTCAGCACAGAAAATGCATTTCTTGCAGGGGCTTTATTAATATTTATTTATGTGAAGCACTCACTTCTCAGTCTGCCAGAGCCCCGGAGGCAATGTACAACAGATAAAAGCATCACTCAAAAACAGACTGAACTCATCCCCTAAAAATAGTTTTAAAACCAGAGAGACTTAAGACAGCCAGAGAGCAGCCACCTTCCGATTGTCAAGACAAGTGCTCTGAAAAGCCACAGAGTCATAGACATAGGTATACAATCATAGAGTTGGAAGAGATCACCCCCAAGGGCCATCCATTCCAACCCCACCTTGCCATGCAGGAACTCCCAATCAAAGCCTCCCGAGGAAGGAGACTCCACCAAAATCTCCAAGGGAATGTCTTCCACTGTCGAACAGCCCTTACTGTCAGGAAATTCCTCCTAATGTTAAGATGGAATCTCTTTTCTTGCAGCTTGCATCCATTGTGCCATGTCCTATTCTTTGGAGCAGCAGAAAAAAAGCTTGTTCCCACCTCAGTATGACATTCTTTCCAATATTTAAACACAGCTATCATATCTCCTCTTAACCTTCTCTTCTCCAGGCTAAACATCCCCAGCTCCCTAAGTCGTTCCTCATAGGGATTCATTGTTTCCAGACCCTTCACCATTTTAGTTGCCCTCCTTTGGACACACTCCAGTTTCTCCACATCCTTTTTGAATTGTGGTGCCCAGAACTGGACACAGGATTCTTCCAGGTGAGGCCTGACCAAAGCAGAATAGAGTGGTACTGTTACTTCTCTTGATCTAGATACTATACTGCTATAATTGTGTCGGCCTTTTTAGCTGCAGCATCACACTATTGACTCATGTTCAACTTGTGGTCCACTGGGACTCCTAGATCCCTTTCACACGTAGCCAGGAGTCCCCCGTCTGTGCATTTTTTGGCCCTAAGTGCAGTACCTGACATTTCTCCGTGTTTAATTTCGTTAGTTTTGGCCCAGCTTTCTAGTCTGTTCAAGTCATTTTGAATTTTCATCCTGTCTTCCTAATTTGGTGCCATCTGCAAATCTGAGAAGCATGCCCCCTATTCCTTCATCCAAATCATTGATAAAGATGCTGAATAGGAAACTGGGCCCAGGACAGAGCCCCACTGGACACCCCACTGGTCACTTCTCTCCAGGATGAAAAGGAGTCATAGCACCGCTTGCCAGAAACCCCAAAAGGGAGGGATGGAGACATCCTGACTTCTCTGGGGAGGGACCCCATAGTCCAAGCGCTGCTGCAGCGAAGACCCTGCCATCAAGCCCACAAGAACTTCTGCTCAGAGGAATTCCTCCTGAAGGGCAAATGGCGATGGAGGAGGGCAGGAGGCGGCAGGTGTTGCTGGAAGAGTCCTCTGGGAATCCTCATACAGATAGGTCACCCAAGGAGACCCCTGGCCCTAGGGTCCCTGGGGGCACATGGGGCACATGCATTTGTGAGTGTGCACACGCACCTCTGAGACCATGGGAAGAGCATACCGTACCTGACAACATTTCACAGATGAAAACCAGGCACACGTGGCCAAGAAATATCAGAGTGTGGTCCAGATGGCAAAGCATACTGACGAGGAAGAAAGGAAAGCTAGGAGAGGACACAGCAGTTTGCCTTTGCCTGGGCCTACTGGGAAGGGTGAGATTCTGCTTCCTCCTCTTCTCTCTTCTGCCTGCTGAGTTCATGGAGTGCAAACTACTTTTGAACTCAGTCTGCAGCAACTGAAGTAAGATCAGGACAAAAGGGGGAAGTGGGAGAAGGAGAGGGAAGCCAGGACAAAGCAGCCGAGAAACTGGGACAGCAGAGGATTAACTGTGGCTGTCCTTGCCAAATTGGAACAGCTGGAGAGTATGAGAGAGTCATTGGCACATCATGGGCCATGACCTGCATTTGAATGATTGGAAGCCTCAGCCGTGCCTCCCTCCCCTCCACCTTTCCACTTCCCCTCCCCCCCAATGATCACAACTGGCCAGCTGTGGTCAATAAGCCACCCCAAAGGCCTCCCTCTACACCAGGGGTGGCGTGGGGTGGGCAACTGCAGCCCACTTTTGTGCCTCTGGGAGGGATGGACTGCCCCAAATGCCCCCAGGCAGAAAAGAAAACCCCCAAAGCTTCCCCACGTCCTTTTCTGGTTTTGCAAAACAAAAGGTTTTAATGTTCAGCATTGCAAAGGGACTCTGCACCCTCTTTAAAAGGTGAATTGCTGTTCCTGGAGGTGTCGAGGGGAGGCAATTCACCCTGGTTTTGGCCAAGGGCTGCCCAAGGGGCTGCAAAAAGAGCCGTAGGGGCAGCAAGCATCCCCAGGACCCGGCTTTGGTCATCATCCTTGGTTGGCACCATCGTAAAGCAGCCATTGCAGTTTTTCATACTGGGACATCACGGTCTCAGTGGTCTTTTTGCAAACCCCTCTCAGTTTTATAAGGGAATCGGGTTGCCTGCCAGGCCTCCTGGGCTTTCTAACGCTTTGGCATAGCCACCAACAAGGCCCTGCCTTTGCCCTGACCACCAAGAGACCCAATTTTCTGATTTCCTGGGATGGGAGCGAGTGGGAAGAAGCCAAAGGCAGGACTTGGAAGAGCTTCCCGAGACACGCTGGGCATCTAAGGCTCAGAGAGGAAGCCTCCATCCCGCAGAAGCACGCTAGCTGCAATCCCAGGCGTTCTCTGCTCTCCAAAGACAGACTCAGAGAAGAACACTGAGATAGCTCTCCAACCAAGTCTCCAGAAGTGCCCTAAAATCCCACAGTGGAACCTCAGAGTTATTTTTTGCCTCTTTGCTGTAATGGGGAAGTTGTCCCGTTGTATAAATTGGGCACAGCCCAGTGCGCTTTATGGACTGTGAGGGAGAGAGAGCTAAGAGGGGGATTTATTGTCCTTAAAGGCAGAAGAGCTGTAGCCGGGTAATGGGCAAGAACTGAGAGCGGCTGGGAGTTTAATGGAGAGTGCCTGCATGGCCCCTTCTCGAAAGAGCTAATGGTCTAATGGGGAAGGCTGGAGGGACTGGAAACGCAGAGGAGATTGCCCAGCTGCTGCCTCGGAAATAACAAGAGGCACTGGCCTCAAAGGACGCTTGGGCAGTGGTGCCTTACAAGCAAATGGGCAAGCAGGCCAGGCCGAGGGTCAGCACCACGCCAGCCTTGTGCAAGCGCTACCTCGGGGGATTTATGAATTAATCACCCTTTTCTGCCAAGGGATGTGAGACCCTGGAAACCAAGCCGGCTGAGGAGGTCTGGCCATGTTTAGCCTGGAGGAAAGGAAATGGATGTGCAGCCCACAGAAGAGAAGAGGGAGCAAGACCCCTGGCCCTTTAACACCATGTCATTGTTGCACTTTGATCCCACTTTATCTGCCATGGCCCTGTCGTCCTATGAAACCTTGCTGGTTGCAAGGTATGGGGAGGCACTAGAGCTCTCTGGCTGAGAATCCTAAGTACCCCTCTCTACGTAAACAGCGAATCCCAGGATTGCATAGGATGGAAGCATGGCAGGTAGAGTGGAACCGTTGTGCTGGAATAGCGTATAGAATCACAGAATCATAGAGCTGGAAGAGACCCCCAAGGGCCATCCAGTCC